CGAGGACAGCACAACTGCGCTGCTGCTGATCACACCGCGGGTTGAGATGGGGGCCCCCTCGTCCCGACCCCTACCTCCCCCTCCCTCCACTCTCAATCGTTCTAATCACTCGTCAGCATAACAGCCATCACCAACCTTTCACCTCCTCCCCCGAATCACTCTCTTAGTCATTTCACCGTAATCGTCATCACGACGATATCAACCTGCCTGCCATCAGTGAGCGGTGGGGGGGGAGGGGGGGGGGCATTCCCTTTTCCCTCAACCGTACCTCTCCACGTCTGCGATCGGGATCCCAGAATAAGAGAGAAGAGGAGGTGCAACTCGGACCAAACCGCATATTCCCCCTCGCTTCCATTCCTTACCTGTTCTTCTTCACGTCTGTGATCGGGATCCCATTCCTTCTTCACGTCTGTGATCGGGATCCCATTCCTTCTTCACGACTGTGATCGGTATCCCATTCCTTCTTCACGTCTGTGACCGGGATCCCATTCCCCATCCTTTCACGGCCACAATAAGAGAGAGAAGAAGAGGTGCAACTCGCAGCAACCGGGATCGGGATCCCATTCCCCGCGTTTCCATTCCTTAACGTGTTACGTGTTCTTCGTCCCGTCCGTGATCGGGATCCCATCCCCCCTCGTTCCTCGCACTCTGTACGCCAACCCTGATCTTGTCCCATACGACTGTATATACCTCCTTTACCACCACAACCATTCTTCGCCCACGAGGTGGGGCGCACGCCTGAACGTTCCCTCCCTCCTGTACTCATAGCATTATTGGAGCAAGATGTCGAGGAGGGTTTTTTTCAAAAAAAAAAAAAAAAAAAAAATCATGCCCTTTCGTTCTATTCGGAGAAAGACCGTACTCAACAAGGCAAACCAGGACTGACCTCAGCTTTCCGTATTTTTTCGCGCCAAGAAGGAGAACTTACCTCAGTGGTTTACTAGCTACGTGATGCCTAGATAGAAGTTACATTTGCTACTATTTAAGAGAGAGGGCTTTTCCTTTCTCCTACCTCGGATACTTACCCCTCCTGATGAGGCTAGAACTGGCTCTAGCCGAAACCGGTCGAGGGAAGCCAGACAGCCATCACCAGGGTTAGCCTGGCTATGGCTTCCTCTTGAGCTTTGTTGCAGATCTTTCGAAGAGATACTCTTGGTGTTGCAGAAGAGTAACTTCTGAGTAATTTCCGAGTTTTCACATATTCTGGCGGGTTGTATTTTTCAGCAACTTGCTTATGTGTCGCGTGCCGCTGATCTCAGTCGACGCTGTGATTAGCCTTCGCTCTTTCCAATTCCAAGGCAAACCAATCACTACCACATTTCCTGAACACCCCTCCTCCCCCCACCGCCGTCCCCCTCCCTCAATCCATAAAACGAAAACAATATCGAAGAAAAAAAAAAAAATCCATCTCTTCTCCGCAGAGAACAAAAGAAGAGACATCGTGACAAGCGCATGCACGGTCTTTGGATTGGGACTTGATGATAGGCAGAGGATGATTTAAGGTTGGTGAAGGTAAAAGAACAGAAACAAAAATTATTATAAGGATATATAAGCGCCGTCTAGGATCATAATAAGGACAAGAATAAGGATGGCGGCAAGAAGCATGATATCAGAATGGATTACGGATCACAATCGTAGTGATGAAGACTAAAGAGGGCAACGACGACGATCAGTTGATATGTCATCATTCGACAGTGAGGACAAGTCGCTGTGTTGCTGTGTCATATTCCTACAGAGGGCAATGTTCACTGTCAATGATCTTTAAAAGATTTGCTGTGTTCTACAACCAAAAAAAAAAAAGTAATAACGATCATCTCCGTCCTCATAAATGATCTCAAACTGTGTTTATCTCCAGTCCAGATACTGCGCAACCTAACTCTTTTTCTAAGACCGAGCACAAGCACACCGTCGACAGATATCTGTGCACAAGCACACCGTCGACAGATAAATGATTTCATAGCATGCTCTCTGGCTTCCGCAATAATTTTCTCACTCTTCTTCTGAGCATCACGTCAACCAGGAGATTTTGCTTTCAACCTACGTACTCGTTACTACACCGCCCATCTCTCTCTCTCTCTCTCTCTCTCTCTCTCTCTCTCTCTCTCTCTCTCTCTCTCTCTCTCTTCTCTCTTGCACCTCTCCCAGCGAACGGCAGACGTAAAAAGAAAACCACCTCATTCCCTCTTGCACCTACGTGCGCGCGCACGCAGGGCGGCGCGGGAAATCGTCCCTCGTTCCTTCTTGCGCTCACCTGCGAATTCCCTCTTGCACCTACGTGCGCGCGCCGCGCGCCGCTGAGCGTGCGCGGGAAATCGTCCCCATCCCGCCAAGCATAGGCTTTCACTTATTGAATTCCCCTCCACGGTAATTGACAGCGCACAAGCGCGCGCACAACCCCGGTCATGCAGCTGCTTAAGCAGCTTCCACATACATTTACCTTCTCTCTCTCTCTCTCTCTCTCTCTCTCTCTCTCTCTCTCTCTCTCTCTCTCTCTCTCTCT